CAGGGGCGCCGAGTGGCACGGCGCCAGGAGGCGGTGACGACGCGGCACGCTCCGCCTCGCCGGACGCGATGGAGTTGATGGCCGCGTGGAACACGAGGCGCCCCGCCCCGCCGCAGCACCAACAGCACCAACAGCAGCGACAGCAGCAGTCGAGACGTGATGGCGATGACGGTGGCACCATGCGGCTGCCGCCGAAATTGGGCGGTGTGGCGCGGCGCAAGGGCAACCGGTATTTGGTGCCACTGTAGCGCCGACGGCGGCCACGATGTATCATATGGCAACGTACTGGCAGCTCTTGCCGCGGCCGTATTGCACAGAAGAGAAAGCGAAAAACAAATGAAACACAATCGACAGCAGCTCAAGGAGCTGCCCGCCCACTTCGGCGCCATGCTACGCACATGCACTCACAACAATCTCTCCTCTCTGTCCCCCTCCCTCTTGTTGCACACACACAAACACACACACAGACCATGTCCCGCAGGGCCGACTACTATACGGAGATGGTCATGGCTGCGTCAGGCGATCCGAATGGACTCGTGGCGCCGAGCGGTGCGCACCTCCAGCAGCCGCACGCCCCGCCGCAGGTCGGGCCGTGGCATACCGCAACGGACATAAACTGCAGCTCCACTACACACGGCAGCACAGTGACAGTCAGTCGCAGCCGCCGCTACACACACAATCCGTACACGTCGCCTTTGACGACCCCGTCGGGAAGCTCCACCAACACGTCGCGGCAGATGAATACTTCCACCAACACTAGCTGCGACAGCTCGCTACAGAGCTACAATCCCTGTGCCGTGCGGGAGCCCGGCAGTGCAGAGGCGTTCGCGGTGGCCAGCAGTCTGATGGAGCAGTTTCTCGGCGTGGTGGGGAAGATTCCGCACACGGCGTGCACGGTGGCCGGACGCCACCTTCTGGTGTCGGTGCTGCGCCTGCAGCACATGGACAAGATGCAGATCATTATCGACGAACTGGTCCCACAGCTCAACGTCGTAGCACTGGACCCGCAGGGCTGCCATGTTGTACGCACCCTCATCGAGCTCATTTCAACACCGCTGATGGAGGCGCTGGTGCCACATATTACCCCAGAAACAATCCTCGATTTGGCCGTCAGCTCGCAGCACACACGCCGCATTCTGCAGAGCATCTTCGAGCGCCACAAGAGTGATGCCCTCACCCCTATTGTGACAACAATTGCCCAAAGCAGCCGACGGCTGGCCGTCTCTCAGCAAGGCTGCATTGCCGTCATACGCACTATTGAGAATGCTGTGCCACATCAGAAGCAAGCAATCATTTCGATGTTGCTGCCGGTACTGCCAGCCCTTACAATGAACTGCTACGGCAACTACGTGGTGCAGTGCCTCCTGCAGCACATGGACCACGCCTCGGTCGTCTCTGTCGTTTGTCACTCCTTTGCGGGGCACTGGGTGGCGCTGTCCCGCAACAAGTTTGCCTCCAACGTGATGGAGAAGGTCGTGTGGCAGCTCGATGGGGCGGCGCGCAGGGCACTGGTGGAGGAGCTTGTCCTCGACACCGCCAATCTTAAGTGTCTTATGCAGGACGCATTCGGTAACTTTGTGCTGCAGGCGATCATCGACTCCTCCAATGACGCGGGGGAGTTCCGCGATATCTCGAGCCGCGTGCGGCAGCTGCTGCACACCAGCCCGTACGGCCACAAGATTGAAAATAGACTGCAGAGCGGGCTCGTGCGCTCACTGCGGATGGCGCCCGACCTGCAGGGCAACGGCGCGGCAGCCCCGCTGGCGAACGCATGAATGGGGAGGAGGAGCGACTCTGTGTGTATGAGAGAGAAAGCGAAATAGATTGAAAAGGAAGAGTCCGCTTTGTGTGCACAATGTTCTACACCCCT